ATCATCGTTATGGCTAATTCGAGTACGCTTTGCATTCAGCTATAACGATATTCAGGCTTACAAGATGTTTATCAAGTATGGGATTATGTTTATGTTTAATCGTTAGAATCAAAATCGGATTATGATTATTATTATTATTATTATTATTATTATTATTATTATTATTATTATTATTATTATTATTATTATTGTTTTTCCAACACACTATAAAATTACACAAAGAAGAAATGGTGGGAGGGTAGGTTTTTGTCCTGTTCCAAATGGGGTAGGATGGAGCCTCAAATTTGTATCCCCACATGGATGAGTTTGGGAAGGTGGGGAACGAGTAGCATTATCACACAACTTTGAAACACAATGATTCTAATTAAAGCACATTGCATCTTTTCTATTGCATGTAAAACTACTATTTTCAGAGAATAGACATCTTTGTTTTGTCTCCTTAGAGGTAAAAGTGAAAAAAAAAATTAAAAATCACGAGTGATCCACCATTAAACCCATGAAGAAATAAGAAACGTAAATGCTTCATTCTATTACATGCCATATTTATATACCAGGAAAAAAATGTCCATTATCGCATGGGAAATTGAATATATAGCGTTTGTCACGAAGCTGAAATTGAAGGTAGTGAATTTTTTGATGGTTAAGCGTAGCACAGCATTAATTTGACGATGGGAGAGTGTAGAATGAAAAAGAATAAAGAGATGGGAATCGTACAGAAAATAGGTCTGCAGTTGTAGGAAGTAGCAACTGATGGTGGGACAAGAACAATGCAATGCAATCCAATACAATACTAGGGTTTCAATTTTATGATGAAATTTTTGGTTCTGAGAGAAAATTAACTCCCAATTTCTACTCTGCTTTCTTGCTATTAAGATGGTCTGAATCAAAGTACTGCTGCATTGGGACTCAGTGTCAGCCTGCACCTGCACCTGCAACCATCATACTCTAATTGCAACGACACAGTCCTGCTAGAATGAGTTACTTGATGATGCTACCACTATTTCCAGTAACAAATTCTAACCTATTTCACATATCATATTATTATTATTACCTCCTATTTCTTCTCACACCACCATTCAAGACACCCACTTCTCTCCTTTTTCACACCTCATGCTTATAGTTTTTACTCTTTCAAATTTCACGACTGTAATAATTGTGTTCTTTCCATGTTTGTAAATCTATATGATTATTCAGTTACTATAATTGAAAATTGTGGTACCACAATTTATATGTAAATTTTAAAAAGCATGTCCCTCACTGATACGTCCAGCATCATCATATGAAAAATAACCTATTGGAGAATCTTCTTTTACAAAACATTATCAAGTTCTTTGATGGAGTTATATATTATTCTAAAAGAGTTACTAAAATAATTGTTAAATGATGAATTTTGATACGTTTCTATAAAAAAATTTCAATTAGATAATTGAAACAATTATGCAATTATTATTAGTATTATTCATTTTAATTGAAATAATTATGTTGTCGTGAGTTTTATCTTGTTGATTCACAATAGATTGAAATATACGTATATAATTATAGTATCAAATTGACCTATATATTCTTATTCTAATAGCAGTATGCATGCATTGTATTAAACACTTTAAGCATTGTTTTTATAGAAGGACTTACTGAACAGAATCAAATTTGAAATAAACTTTCGGATCATACTAGATTTTAGAAAACGCAGGTTCAGCCTTGAAACAAGGCATTTACCATATAAATAGGTTACGAAGTCCTAAATTTGGAAATTAAGTTAAACTTACACTTTGTAAAACTCAATTTAACCTAATTAAGTTATTTTAAATTTAACAGTGTTTTAATATTTTTAATTTTTAATTAATGCCAGTGAGAGGGAGGGAGGAGTCAGTTATGACTGTGAAATTTGCGCAAAATAAGTAAGGATAGATTAGTAGTAATTAATTTATCATTGTTACTTGAATTTGTCTGATCCCCAAGCAATATTGGATCTAATTAACTCTTAAACATTAATGATTGTTGGAGAATGTAATGTGATTAGATGTGTAAATCATATATTATCTAAAAAACTTTATAATCAATAAAATACGTACGAGGGGTGAAAACTACTTTGGCAACAGCAAAACAATATATGATGGTGTTCTGAGTTAAGGTTGCTTAAACTTTATAGGTAACTAAATGAACAAATCGTACACATTCACCACTTAGCATATGTGCTGTTGCAGTTTATGTTTTCAAAAAACTTGGAAAGATTCCCTTTCCTTTACTTTCACCCAACACCAAAACCCTTTTTCCTTTTAATTTCTTTCTTGTCTGGACCAGTGTGATAAAAAATTTAGCACTGATAATTGGAGTGCATTTGCCCTTAACAAAAGTTTGGCCATTGCACTTTCTTTCTTTTTTGGTGTTAAATGATTGTCAGCTTTCCCTATCAGAGTCTTTTCTCCCAATCAATGAGTCATTATTGTTGAATTCACAATGATGATCATCTCAGCAAAGTTCAGTTCATGGTGGATGTTAATAATTGATAATGCGTGGATATATGCAGTAGTACAACTACTACAACCATGATAGCATCAAAGAATGGGTAACTTTGATGAGAAAGCCTTGAAGGACACACAGAAAGAAACAGATCTATAAGCGAAGCATGTGTTGCTTCTCTCAACAGCTGAACATTAAATTTGACAGAGTCAGCCATCTCCAGTCTCACTCTTCTTACCTGTTTCCACCATTTTCGATCAGACATATATGGTTAATACCACATGTCACCTATTAATTAACTATTTAATGTATTCTTGTTTGAATTTCCCGCTTATTTTATTCAATATACTTACGCTTTCACCCTTCATATTAATCTTCCTTCACATTTTCTTTTTCAGTTTCGGGCATCTTTTAGTCAAAAGTCTGATATTAATCTCTCAAATTACTAAAATACACGATTAATTAACAAATTGATCTATTCATTTTCTGGAGCGAGGATGGATCAAATTTGGTTGTAGGATTATGTTTGTAGTTATTTATATGCATATTCTTAATTAAACGTAGGATTTTGTTTTTGAAGGGAAGCTCTTTAACATGGAAAAGAAAAACTTGATTGTTTGGTTTCCTTTTAAGATTTAACTTTTTGTTTAAAAGAAACTTGCATTGAAATTCACGAACGTTTTCATGCAAAATTTGCTTTTATTTATTTTTTAAAACAATAGTTATCTTGGCTACTAGATTACAATCTCAAACTTCCATGAAGTAGGAACCAAACAGAATACGATTCTCTGAGCATATTCTACCTTTTTATCCTTCTTCAAAAAGTGATGTATTCTTTTTTTAATCTTCCCTTTTCTTCCTTGTAGGTACGATAACAGTATCTGCGCACTAAACTATTATTCCATCCACTTTATATCTAAGTAAAAGATATGGTGACTTTAGAAAAACAAGATTATATTTTTTAGAAGAGCGAAAATTCTGAATTTTTAAATAAAGGAAAAATGAGAGATTTAATTGGAATATGATTGTGTGGAATACTTTTAAACTCATCCCCACTGAGTTCATTTTTAATGGGTATGAAATCTTGAATTTTGTATCAACTGGCAAAATTATTCATATTTCGTAAAATAATTTGACATGGAACGAATTTATGAATGGTGTTTTTCCTTCCTATATTCATATTCAAGGATACCTAACTTAGCGAAATGCTTTTGATTATTCAAGTAAAAGTTAGTATAACTATATATCTTTCTATTAATTTATTATTTTGACTTTATTGTATATTTATTCAGAAATATCTGTAAGTATCTATCAAAATTCCCAAATAAATTAATGATAGATATCCACATAAATATGCAATTGATATTCATATATAGTAATTTTATTTTTTAATATTGGTGGTTGTTGTGTTCTGAAGGAAAAGGGAAGAGAAGCTTATACAAAATGAAGTGTGGAATGTTTTTGAAGTAAAATTATATAACTTTACCAACTCAAAAGGATTTATGTCAAATCAAAAGGGTTTAGACTATTTAAAATATTGAAAATATAAAAATGGTTTAAGCTAAATATAAAAATGAAAGAGGAGCTTTGGTCCCAATTTCATTTAAGAATATTTGAGAGGGTTGAAGCAAAGTTTTTTTAAGCAAATTCACATAATTTTTTACATTAAAAGAGGCTTAAGCGATAATTTTAATACTTAAGTCATTCTCCAACCACTTATTAGTTTTTTCTGTACCAAATTTGTTTAGGCAAATCTTGAAGAAATAAAGTGTTTTGTTCTTTCCAAGATGAAGAATTTTGATTTTGCATATTTTCTTTTCTTTCTAAGTTGACTTTTATGAAATTGACTGAATGCCTTTTTTTTATATATATTACTCATTCATTTTCGTTTTTAATATTTTCCCACGTTAAATCACACCCATAGTATTTGAAATCGAGAATATGATTGAAAAATGTTTTTTTAATCAATATTTGAAATGAATTCACTGACATAATGTTTGTAAAATCACCCCATACGATGTTTGTCAAATCCCACCCAAAGTATTTAACATTATTTCATTTTTACTCTAATTTTTATATATTTTTTTAAACAATCAGGAAGCTTGGGCAAATTGATTGATTTACCTATTTTCATCATGTCAGTCTACTTTCTCCCTAGTGGCGCTGAGAATATCAAAACTGCTGACAAAAAGTAAAGCAAAATCCATTGGCTTGGCTACATTTCCTCAAACTATGAACCAGATATTAACAAGAAAAAAGGAATTTTACAGTGTATATAAGCTAGCAGAGTGAGGGTTAAAAAGCAAAGGACATGGAAACCTCTGCAAGAAAATCAAGACTTTTACAAAACAACGTGTGACCCCCTCCCGTTTTTCATGCTTCAAAACGGGACCCACCGCCACGGCTTCACGGATGAGGGACCCATGCCATAGCCATAGCCACAGCCACAGCCACAGCCACAGCCATGCATCTCTTCTCATTCATCACGTGAACCTTTCCCATGTGATCCCCACAATTTCCCTTTCAAACGACGCCGTCCCCTACGATTCCACGCCCCCAACCATAACGGTTAACGTTTCATGCACCAACCACTCCACTATGCTCCCCTCTATCTCCTTCACTAACCCTTCTCCTTCCTCTTCTTCCCTCATCTCCTCCATCTCTACCAACTCATCTAGGTCCTCCAAAACCTCGCACTTCGCACGTGGCAAACTCCGAATCCTCTCCCACACCGTCTCCAACAGCGTCCCTCGGTAACGCTTCGGCCGAACCAGAATCTCCGACAGCAACTCGTCGACCAAATCGAAGAGTAATCTGCGGTTGCAGCGGGGACCCAGATGGTGTTTCCGCTCAAAGACGCAATCTTTGTTGTCGTCTTGGAAGGAGACAAAGGAATGGGATGTTGGGTAGCGCTCCAGATGGTGAAAGACGGAAGGGTCCAAGGGGTGGGTGGGAGAGAACCACTGAAAATGGAGGTGGGGTATAAGCGTGGTGGAGTTGCTGTGGGACCCAGTGGTGCGGGACAATATGGTTGTCACGTAGTTAAATTCTGGCCCTTCCTGGAGTGCGGCGGAAGGTGTGGTGGTGAAGGCGCCGTGAAATTTGTCGTGATCGCTGGTCATTGGTCCTCGGGGTGGGGGTGGTCGTGGCGCTTCTTCTTTGTACGTCTGGCGCGAACAACTAAATAACCGTGTGCTGCATTTTGCATCTCGAGAATCATGATCATCACTCACCTGCGTCTGTGTTTTTTACCGCAAAGCACACGCAAAAATTAAACCAAATGTTCAGAACACAGGGACCAAATAGGATCAATACAACAAATTTGAAACATGTTTCTTTAACCTTTTTGGTGTCATAGGTGCACAGAGACAAGTATTTTCATTAACACTACGCAAAAATAAATATTTATTTTTATGTCGATTAATTTATTAATCAATTCATATATATAAATTATATTTAAAAATTGTAATAAATAATTTATAGGTAATATAAACTTAGATATAAAACTTTGTTAAAACAAACCAATAATAGTTTAAACGATATCAATACTTTCAGAAATTAATCTTTTCCTCAGCAATACTCTAGGTTTACCCAAACATATAAATAAACCGTTCAAAAGTTAAAATATATATAGATCAAGTTAAGAGAAAAAAGAGAGTTTGATATATCATTGGAAAAAAAAAATTCTATTGTACGAATGCATTTTTAGAGAAAAAAAACATTAAAAGAAAATTGAAAAAGTGAACTAAAGTGTGTATTTTAATTCTATATGAGGATATATCTATATGAGAAGTCCTGGATATTATAAAAAAAAAAAAGATTATATATGTAGCAGTATAATCATATAGTGATGATTAAATTTAAAGTACTGATCATTTTAAAAAGTTAAATGATTTTGTTTTTTAATGGTAACTATTTAAATATTATGCAAGGCATATTATTATTGATACGTTGTTAATTAAATATAATAGAATAGTCAAATAATGAAACTCAATAATAATGTAATGTTTCTTCTTTTGACGAGATTGATGTATTGGTGTTTGTGAGCAGAATAGATGGTGGAAAAAGAAAGACTTGTAATTTATGAAATTTATTTAGTAGGTACCTGTTTTTGAGGAGAAAGGCCTGTCCTGAGAGGGAGAAGATTTGGAACCGTGTTGAGGTTACTAAGAAGATCGCTTGAAAGTGGATGAGTTCTCTTGTTTTTTGTTTTGATGTCATTGGCTTTAGAGGCTGATGGGGGACGGATAATAAATGGTTCTTCTTGCTTGTTTCTGATTGATGTTTGTGGAGGCTTCTTGACCCTGGAACTCGACTCTCCAATGGTGGTTTTCTTGCATTTTGTGACTGTTCTTTGGTTCTGCAACCCTTTATCGGGCAATGCTTGAGGCTTTGGCTTCGTGGAAACTTTTGAGAGCTGTGTATCAATGTTGATCGCAGGTGGAGGTGACGGCGGTTTTAGCACTGAGTGTGTACTTTGATTTTTTGGAGTAGTTGGTGATGGTGTTGTGCTCGGTTTTTGTTTGGTGTCAATGAATCTGCTGAGCCTTGGGGAGTAAGACGGGTTTGAGAGTTTTCCAGGGCTGGATTCATTCACTGAAGTTTTAGGAGATTTCTTGAATTTGAATTGGCTTACGCATTCCTCTTTTCCTTGTTCTCTGTTCTTGGCAGTGTTGGTGATGTCACGTCCAACCTTTCTGCTCACACTTTCTTTAACCTGTTTGACAATTTGCCTGGCATAGTGGCTTGGGCTCCTGCTATTGTTCTCATCGTATTTTCTCTTTGAAAATGAAAGAGGAACCTCAAAATCCTCGTAAGGGACTCTGTTCTCCTTGTTGATTTGGAGAGAGAGTCTATGCTCAACATCTGATCTTCTTGCAGAGAACATTCTAGGAGTCTCAGGCAAGAAGTCACTTCCTGTGCTGTTTCTATGTTTGATTATTTTTATGTGCTGCCGTTGTCTATGAAGGTTTGGAGTGGAAAGGCATGGGGAAGAAGAGGAATGTGCATCAGGAAGAAGATCAAGACCCATCAACCTCGCAACCAAAGTTGGTGTCTTGGTCCCTGGAGAGACACTTATTTCTGAGGAAAGATCGCTAAAACTTTCTGTTTTTGATCTTGTGCTCCCTCTTGTTTTGATCCGAATCTTCTTCTGGTTCAAGAATCATTAAACAGGTTATGTGATAAAATCATCATTACTCACTTTACGGAATAAACAAACCTAAATAGAAATATGAGAGATGAAACAAATTAAAATTGGTCAAAAGTTGGAGGTACTGTGAAACAGTGAAAGGATGCATGCTAATTATCTTACTGGTATTTTTAAAGTTTCTTCTTTTGAGGTTGATGACACTGTAGTACCATCTTCTGACTCCAAGCTACTCCTTGGTCCTTCAGCTCCTGAAATATACAAAACCATAAATTATCCATAGTTCCCCCAGAGTAAGGTTATTTTAGAGCGTATAAAAGTTATTTAGACTTGGAGAGTATAAAGTAGAGTGTTGAGAGAATGTACCTTTGGGGATAGTTTGGTCTTCTGCGGTGCTAGACTTGAAAGAGGATTGTTGGTGGTTGATGGAAAAGTGAAATGGATGAAAATCGAAGGCCTGAAAGACTGCACACATGCAACCAGAAGGGATTTCTGTTTGAGCTTCTCCACCCCTTTTGGAGGACCTTCCACCCCAATGCCACTCCTTGCCCATAATTGGTAAACTTATGGCTTTGCTGAAGTTTCAAAATAAGAAAGATGGTGTGTGTCAAGTGCCAAAATCAGAATGAAAATGACATATATAATAAGTAGCTAGCCAGCGGTCTCAGACGCACACACTGTTTGTTTGTGTAGTGTTTGAGGTGTTGGCAAGATAATCTTAAAAAGGGTGGTGGCATATGCAGGTGAAGAAGCGAGAAAAACGGATCCTTGAAGCATAAAACGGTCACATTTGATGAAAGGAATTAAAGTACACTTGAACTTGTGGTGATGTAATACGAACAACTAGTTTTTTATTTCTCCTTTTCCTTTTACATCTTTGAATTTTTTAACCTTTTGAGAAGAATATCACCCACTCTCACTCTCACTCTCTATCCATGTACATGTGCATACGATATATATCTTCTTATCTTAATCGCACTCACTTCCAAGCCTGCTGCTAGAGAACCAAAACCAAAGAGAACCAACTCTGCTGCTTATTGGAATCTGAGATGGCTACCATTTAAGAATTGAGGAAGATGATCATGTCACCACGCACTTCTCACCTGTCTCGAAAAAAAAAAAAAACAATCTTTATATATTTATACACTTTTTTTCACATTAAAATAAAATTCAAGTGTTCAAGATATTCATTTAAAATATCATTTCTTATAAAATAAATTCCTCTTTTATTCTGTAGCTTGATCTTTTAATTATTTCAAGATTAAAAATTTTCATCTTTTTTACTTATAATAACATGTAATTAAGTATTTTCTTTCCTCCCTTTACATTCTAATATATTCACACAAGAAGAAATTATTTCTTAGTCTACACGATTGTTTTATTTATGATCACAATCAATATTTTTTTATATATGAAAATAAACTTGATACTCTTTTATAATTTATTGCCTATTTTTCATATATAAATTTTTTAAATGTGAAAGATTTATAAATTTTCAATTAATATTATGTACAATATATTCTTAAGGAGCTGATTAAATTATACAATACGGAAGAAATCATAACTTGGATGCTAGTGAGATTTCTTATGTTCGCAATACAATCAATGCAGTTGTGATTCTTTCAATAATATACCGATTAGGTTTAAATTTCAACGTGTTCGATACCCACCCGAATTAATTCTGATCCAAGTTTTTCATAATATAAAAAATGAAATAATTATTTATTATTTTGTCTTTCAGCATAAAATTAAAATCGATTATAGTAAAGAATTGAATTTAATCTGTATTATTTTGGTAATGATAGAAATTTATTTAATAATGCAGTACATATGGGATCCACTCATGACCCTATCGTCTTTATTTATATCCTAATCAAGTATCAGTCCTCAACATTTATGACTTTCAGATCTCTTTCTGATTAACTTTTCACAGCACCTTTGAATTGATCGTTCATCCTAATTGGAAACAAGCTTCACAATAACCTATGTTTTAGGTTTTCTTCTGCCTTTTCTTTTTTTCAGATGATGGGTCCAAATTAATTTTGATTTCAAAATACAGCTAATATTTATTATTTCTTTAATTATTATTTTACATCACCGGTCTTATTCATTTATGCTTCTCTTTTTCTGTTTTTTCCCTCTTCTAATTATTAAAAAAGTTATAAAGAAACATGAGAGGAGGAACATAATTTTCTCTTCATTATGAGGTGTTTCTGCAAACACTAAATCTCTGACTAATGATCTTGCATTGTTATTATTTAGATCTGATAATCGCTACTAACTCTAAAAATCAATGAAGATGGTTACTGATAGTCGTATTTTTCTTTTTCTCTTTCGTAAAGTCTACATAGTCACACTAATAGTGGTGATACATAACACTATTTCAACATTCTATTTCACTTTTTTTTATTGATCATATATCACTTATCATTAACATTTTACATTAATGTATGATGGGATGGGAGAAATAGTAAAAGATTAGTTTAAACCAACCCGTGGATATGATTTCTAAATTATTATTATAAATAATATGGTATAAAACATTATTAGATTTGGTTTTGTAATTGGACAACATTTTTACAAGTGTTGTTATAGTGAAAAATAAAGAGTAATCTGGAAATGTTGGAGGCAAGTAAAATTTATCACAGTAAGACCTTAATTAACTCAAATCAATGGCAACTAAAAAAAGAGTTGGTGTGGTACGTGTTAATACAACACGTTGCAAGAAGTCAACTAACTAGTTTCGTTGTAGACTACATGGCCAAGCAATGAGCAGTACCAGACTCTAGTCAACGCATTGAATAATTTTAAAACAAATAAGAAGATTACAAGAACAGATATGATTTATGGGCCATAAATATAAGAGGGAATTTGAAAATGTTGCACTACTACAAAATATATTTTCTAAGTCGTCATTTAACGTCAGTTATAACTGAGACGACGTAGAAAGTACTTTCCACGTCGATTCCCATATGAACCGATGTTGAAAGTTTTTTTTTTTTACTTATTGACACTTTCCACGTCGATTCCCATATGAACCGACGTTGAAAGTTTTTTTTTTTTTTCAGCCAAAAACTCACTTAAATTTGAAAATTATCATCAGTAAGATTTGAACACAATACTTTAGAGTTGGAAGCTAATACTCCAACCACTAAACTACTAGAATTTTTTGATAATAACTAACAAATAAATTATATTTATATATAAATAAATATATATCCATGTAAATATATATTTATTTGTATATATTTTCTAGAAAGTATTTTTATTTTTTTTCAAACTAAAAATTCTCTTAAGTTAATGAATTGTCATTAATAGCATTTGAACTCGAGTATTTTAGGGTTGAAAGTTAATATCTCAACCACTAAACTACTATAATTTTTTTGATAATAACTTACAAATAAATTATATTGGTATTTTTCGATCGAGGGTGAAAGTGTGATTGACTCTTGCTTGAGTGAAAATATGTTAAAGCTCACTGAAATTCACTCACTCAAGTCTCGCTTGAGCGAAAATTGGTATTTTTCGCTTGAGAGCAAATAACGCGTTTCCCAAATTTATTTTATATCATTATATAAATAAAATTATAAAGATTATATTCTGTCATTAAATTACAAACTCATATAAAGATATCTCGCTCACAAATTTAGCATCAAATTTTGAAAACCCACTCGACACACACTTTCACTTTTGAGTGTGCCCTCACATCCAACATATAAATATATAACTATATAAATATATCAAAATATAAAAATATATTTGTATTTATATATTTACACGGATATATATTTATTTGTATATAAATATAATTTATTTGTAAGTTATTATCGGAAAATTCAAGTAGTTTAGTGGTTGGAGTATCATCCTCCAACTCTAAAGATCTGGGTTCAATCCTCACCATTGACAATTCTCTTAAAAAATTAAAAAACTTCTAAAAAATATAATATAAAGAGATGGAGGACCTAATAAAAATATAATATAAAGAGAGGTGAGACTTTTAAATAAATAAAAGGGTGTAAAGGGGTTGTAAATAAATAAAAATTATTAATTTAAAAAATCATATTTTCAACGTCGGTTTATTAGAATCGGTTCAACAACCGACGTTGAAACCTTCGGAACCGACATTGAAAGCTTTAATTGAAGTAGTGTTGTGACTACATGTGGATGTGAGGAAGGAGAAATTCTGATTCTTGATGGGGGTTTAAGACTTGGAAAGTGTTCTATGTGCCAAAAGTAATAATAGATGAATCTAAATGTGTTGTTCATGCTACTAATAAATAGTGCCTGATGCAGGACCACATGTTTGAGGATGTTGATTGGTACTAGTGAACAAAATGATTAACTATACTTTCTACTATGGTGTCTCAAATATGAAGCTATCCCAAATCAACGTAGAAGACCAACTTAATCTTGGCATTTGCGAATCAGACACACCTATTTGAAGATTGTTCGGTTGATGTCATAGGTAATAAGTGATCATAACGCTGTGTATTGACATAAAGTAGTGGGACCCGCAAGGAAGAAAAACAATAAGTCAGATTTTGTTTAAATTATAATAAAGCATTATCAAATTTGAATTCAACGTCCTCTTATAATAGATTGTCATACATCTTCAAGTGAATACACACATTTTTATAACTATATTGTTTTTTTTTTTTTATGTATTCTCTAACATGTTTTTCCACATATGTTTTGGTTTACCTTCTTTGTATATTAATTGTACGATGTTGTATGGTCGAAAGCTTTGGGTGGGTTCTTTAATTTTTTTTCTTTTTGAATGTGATTTGAATGCTGTGCATAGCTCTACAGAATTCAACCATACTCTGACTCTGTAATATGCTGTACGTAATGCTAGAAATCTTATTTTTCATAAACCAACTAAGCACATTAAAAGATGACTACCATTTTTATATGTGATAAAGTTATCAATAAATAAAGTAGTTTGTCTATTTTATATTCCTACTCATATCCAACTTGTAGATCTCTTTATGAAGATCCTAGGTCCCAAACAATTTGCACTTTCTAAGTAAAATTAATCTTTATGCTGTGTGCTTACGCGTGGGTCTTATTTCTTGAATAATTAAAAGCGATAGAGAGAATTATATAACTTTTGTTGCTGTGTATTCTCGTTTAAGGGTGTGACCCTGAAGAAGTTAACTAATTCATTTTTTGGAAAAAGTTTACAAAGTAATGAAAATTTTATTTAAGGATGAGACCAAGAATAATATGACTCATGATCAGGTTTTGACATAAACAATAATAACCTAAATGTCACCAATTTTTTCTAATTTATCTTTTAACAAGCTTTTAGGCAGTTTCTAACAATTTTGGATTTTTATTTTTTTCTTAAATCAAAATGTGAGTTAATGTGACTAGTGTGAAAATCTACATTCAAGGCCTAAATGTTAGTTACCTAATATGCTTTTCAAATATTGTGGATGCTCTCTTTCCTAATATACCATAATATATATATATATATATATATATATATATATATATAGTATGTATGTATGTATGTATGGTATGTATACGGTACACGTATGGTTTCATATCCAAATAAAGTTAAAATCGAATCTATGATTCATGTTTAAAGTGAATATGGAAGAGTAGGCTCCAAAATAAAACCCAATCAGCCTAATATTGTAGGCCCATCCTACGCTCAGCTGTGAATTATGAATGCTTAGATTGAACGTAGGGTAGTCCAAAGTAAAATACCCTTAAAACGGGTGGATGGAAGCACCAAAGGAGAATGACGGCTACCAAAAGAAGGATACAACAAAAATTTTACCTACTTTGAGACACTTCAACTCACTGCAGTTGCCATAATTGAACAGTAAATTGAATGATTCAGGTTTCTGCTTCCTATGTCAAGCAGTGAAGCCTCCTAATTGCACCAGCTGACTCAATAATCTCAATTACCATAAAAATTAACACAAAGAGTTGAGAACGAAAGTAAGCAATGAGTTATGGAGCACCTAATCCGTAAGAGCAATAACAAAAAAATGCAGAGGGAACAACAGAGGTAGGGATTTGAGTAATGTCAGAAATTACCTCCCTATTCACACACACGCATTGATTTTAAGCTTCTTCTACAATCTCTTGTAATACCTAACAAAATGCAATGCCATTCAATATTTTTCAAGTGATGGATGAAGAAGAACATTTAAATGATCTCAGTCAGTACCTTTCTCTCTGCCCCAACCAAATCCAATTTAGTTACAAACATAATTGATATCCGCATCAACTCGTGTTCAACTTAAAATGAGTCATGAATGGCTCAGACACAGAAATGAAGAAGAACCCCCTCAGTCCCTTAAATTTCGTACACCATGCGCCCCACATTGTGTATGCAAGTTTGCCGACAGTATTTTTATTTTTAATGTCGACCAAACTTATCTCCCCCAAGGACTAATATCTTTAAAACTTATCAAAGTGATTTTTCTTTTATATATTCCATAAATATTTTTTCTATGCACATGCTTCCCATCTATCATATGTGATAGGCTAAGCCATGTGATCAAACTGTGATTATTACACAAATTATGTACAGTGTCTGAGTCAGTCATTGCTGCTGAGACATTTACCCGTTCACTGTCAGACCGTAGAAAAATTATGCAAAATCTTTCGTCACTTAGATTTTGGATGACCATACTACTTGTAATACGGTAAAAGGGACCACGACCCCTTTATGTCAAATGTTTCTGATACCTATTCAGATTCGAAATCAGATTCTTATAATTCGATCATAGCTGGGAAGTTCAATTTGGTGTCTTCTTTGAACGTGGCTACTTCTAGAGTGGTCCCAGTACCTGCTTTCAAAACTTAATTACACGTAAATTAAAGAACAAATTCTGTATCAAACTTCTCAATCTCTGACCTCCAAATTAAATAACACGATTACACTCAACTTGTTTCAAAAAAAAAAAAAAAACTATGAACCTTCATACAACTCATCGCTTAAATTAATTTTCGCACTCAACTTTTGTATAACTACCAAATCTATTTAAGAAAAATAGTGTCTTTCAACACAACAATTGGGTTGAAATTTGGTAGAATATATTGAGATGAGATTCTTCCTTTGTACCATCCATCTCCAGCTACGATCTTAACGTACTAATTTCCATAAACTCAAATAGTTGGACATGGCATTGCCATGATGACTGACATGATAACATGACTCTTACATTAAACTAATTTCAACCAACGTCTCAATAAATAAACAATGATTGTTGGTATTTTGAAAACGAACATGTTTATATATCCGTTATATAGATTTGCATTATGAAATGTGAACATTTAATACATTTTTTAATTGAGCACATGATGTCATCTTCAGAGCTAGATTCAGTTTCACAGCACAAAAACTTGGATTCTACCCTTACATCATTCCTGACCCTCTTACACAAACCTCCATATTCTATGTTATATTATATATGATTATATCCTCGGAGAGAGAGAGGAAGAAAGAAAGAGAGAGAACCCTACTTCAAAATTTGAAGTGGTCCTGTTTCGCGGGGGGATTTGAAAACTCTAAAACACTAATTTGCTGTATTGGAATCAAGAGTTTTCAGTGTCTGCCATATAATCTCATATTAACTATCATGTAATAATCTTTTCATCTTTTTATATTGTAGTTTCTTTATATTATATTTTTTCAAGGCTCTGAGATTTGCAATTTGAAAGGAAGGAAAACGTACACGATTGAGGGAAAAGGAGACAAAGGGTATCTAGGTATATGATGAGAAGAAAAATTGAGACCTCTACTTGGGAAGAGGTACATGCTAGAATACTTTCAACGTGGGAAGGGAGGGAAAGATGGATATGGGAAGAGGAGCGTCTACTGTGGCTATATAACACTTGAATTAAAGGAAGGGTAGGGTCCTAATGGGGCAAACCATCCTAGACAAGAGGACATAATACATGGCATTAACATAGCACAAAGATGCAGATGGAGAATATATATGTATGTGTCTCATAGTACTGTCGGGGTATATATAAAAGGTTTCCCTTTTTGAATTATCCAGCTTTTTAAACAACCATGGTTGAGTATGGGAAATCAAATGAAATAATGGCCGAGGCCCCATTCCTTATTCATGCAAATTATCCAAAAAATTATGAGTGACATAGGTGTGGGGCATGCATTCACATACATATATAGACTCACTAATTTACTTTGTACCATGTGGGCCTCTCGTACATGTCGGCCTAGTGTGTTTCCTCTTGAGATGAAAATCAAAGCCCAAATTGAGAATTAGTATAGTCAGGTTAAAGTTCTATATCTAAAAATGGACCAAACAAAACTATTATCTAAACCCCTTGCCATCTTTTCTTTTATAACATTTAGAGGGATGGTGCAATTTGGAGATCGAATCGTTATGAGCATCTCAGTACTGATTCTTCCAATAAAATTGAGCGATTTTTACTAATAGCTTTAGGGATTTTGAATCTTCAAGATGAGATTTATGTTGTAGTTGGATTGTAAATGAAATAGAGAAGAAAATTAGAAAAAATAAGAAAAAAATTAAAGGAAAGTTATTTGGGTGGATAGAAATTAGAATTTAAAAAACAAAAAAATATCTTTAGTTTTGGAAGATAAAAAGATGAGATAGCATCTAACTCAAAATCCTAAGACAATAAATTTATAGATTTTTTTTTTCATGTATATTAATCATCTTGTGCAATCTCACACTCATACTTCACAAGTTATATTGCAAAAAAAAAATAATGGAAAGACAAGATTATTCTTTTCAAAATGGAGTCTTTAAAAAAAACTTATCTTTAAAAGATATCTGAATATCCCCCATATTAATAATTATAATTCATACTATTTTTTGGTTGTAAGCTTTGAAAAACTCTCCTTTCTCTAATGCAAAACAAAATTGAAGACGACTTGGCAATAGCCGACAGAGACATGTTCATAGTAGAGTATATTCTCCAATACTTTTTCTCAAATCCATCTAGGTAGGTCTATATATGTGTAGACCCAATTGCAAATTGTCTACCATCTAAACCTCAGGTAATTTCTTTTTACTTGTCCTTCTTTTTGTTGTTCTCTGACTTATTCTTTAGGTTGTTCTCAAGTTACCCAAGAGGTTAGAAGTTCTGTTGCTCATATATTTTTGGTTTGTATGGACTTGTATTACTTGAATTTCAAAGAATTTGTCTTCTTTTTCTTTATTTAGTTGGTTTGTTTGTTACACTTTTGGACTTTGACAACTGTGGAATGCAGACCAAAAAGGTGAATGAGCCAGTTAATGTTTAAATTTGAAAAATGGCATATTGTTAAAAACACCTAAATTGATTATATTCAAAACACTAATAATTTATATGGTATCTTTTAGATTCAAAACTCTCCTAAACTAGACTGAAAACACTCCTAACATATTGTTCAAAATACCTATTCACTTTAATTTTCTCTATTTCCCAACCTAAAGCTTGTATATTCTCCAACTTAACTCCGTTGACCCTGTTTAAAATTAAGCTGATAATAATTTATTTATCAACTATTTTATTTTCACTGGATAGCTTAGAAATTTTTAAATTGCCGTTCTGACTTATATTTGTAAAAGTTTAACGAAGCTGACATGTTAAATAGTTGCAGGGGATAAATCCAAGCCATAATCAAGTTATGGTTGTACTGGTATACCACATTTCATGTGTGGTACCTTACTTACATGACACTAACAAGAATATGAACTTTCTTCAATAAACTCTGTTGAATCCGGAAATAGGTATAGCTGGACTATCTTACAGCAAGAATAGATAGGTTTTCAGCAACAAACAACTCATGCATGTTAGATGCGATGTCATTTTTCTACCAATGTTTGGATCATAACCTGAAATCACAAGGATCAGAAGTAATATGTAATCATTAATGTTGCACACTATACATCCAGGGAGGGAGAGAATGAACATAATCACCATGATAAAACGAAAAATATACAGATTCGGAATCATTTTCTCTACTGCATGCCGTGTCCATATTTGTCTAGAATTCAAATGAACAAGAACAAACAAAGCAGCGCCCCAGATTATAATAAAGAATTAAATGAACATTTATTAACTTATGAGCTTGAGAAGGATGAAGATTATAATCAGATTTCTGTGGGAACATTGAGATTTTTCATTGATCTTGCAAAATGATTAGTAGAGTAATATGTATGTACATACAATTAGCAACCCTGCTTTGGCAGTCCAATAAATAATTCTGTATCCACTTCTAAACGCTGGCTACTAGAACAGCTAGGTGCTGCTTCTGCTTCTGTTTCAACTTGTGAGTGTCTAGGCCATTGCTGTTGGGATGTCTTTTCCACCCTCTGACACTGCCATCAATAAGAAAAAAGCTTAGAAAAGGGTAGTGGTCCTTTACATCATTGTAAAACTTAAATTAGACGTTTAGTATTCCTAAAGTAATATTAATGATTTTAATTACGAGTGGTATAACTAATAAATTATAAACCTATTTAATAAGTATCATGATTTACTTTTGACATTTGAAAAAATAAATATTTTGGCCATAAATACTTGTAACAACTCATTTGGAATAACATAAGGAGAAATATTGAGAGTGTTATTTCCTTTCCTGTTACCAACAAATTGGCATCAGAGTTTGTGTGAGGTGAGTGTGAGAGAACCTACAAAGCCTCAAGAAAGAATGCAGCGGTGTGTGCTGACTGAGAAAAAGAGAGGGGCGACTCAGAGCTTTGTGAGTTGTGTGAGTTGAGTGCAAACACTTGAAAGGAAATGACAGGTCTAACAAATGGCATCCCGCTACCCAAGTTGATGAAAGGCGTAAACTATGACAACTGGAAGGTACAAATGAAAGTTCTTCTTGGCTCCCAAGATAACTGGGATGTGGTCGAGAATGAGTATGAGGAACCGGCGAACACAGATGGGTATTCAAATGTCCAGCTGAACGCATTGAAGGTCTTTCGAGCTAAAGACAAGGCGGCTTTGTATCTGCTATACCGAGTCGTCGACGAATCCGGCTTTGAGAAGATAGCTAACGCAAAATCTTCCAAAGTAACATGTGATACACTTGAAAAAGCAAACAAAAGAGATGAACGGGTGAAATAAGTTCGACTTCAAACCCTTAGGGGCGAGCTAGAAAACATGAGGATGAAAGAGCCTGAAAGCGTATCCGAGTTCATTACTCGGGTGGAGACCGTGGTGAACAAGCTAAATCAGAATGGTGAGAGTCTTTCATCAAACCGAGTTGTTGAAGTTATTGACAGATAATTTCGAGAACATCGTGTGCGCAATAGAGGAGTCCAAGGATCTGTCAACGTTCACCCTTGAAGAGCTTGCTGGGTCCTTAGAAGCGCATGAGCAGAGAAGGAAAAATAAGAAGGGGGAGTCCCTTGAACAGGCTCTCCAGGCAAAGGTGACAATAAAAGAGGAGAAGGTGCTTTATGCTCAGAGTACCAGAGGTCGAGGAAAAAGCAGAGACTGAGGTGGTAGAGGAAAAGGAGGACGAGGAAATGAGTAAGGCGGTCAACAAAACTGGCGTGGTCAAGGACAGGCTCGGGGTGACCAGACAAACACAAACAATATTGAATGCTATAATTGTGGGAAGAATGGGAATATTACCAAGGATTGTTACTCGGTAAAATGCTATAATTGTGGAAAGAATGAGCATGTTGTCAATGACTGTTACTTTGTAAAATGCTATAATTGTGGAAAATTGGGTCATATTTCTAAAGATTGTAGGTCCGAGAAGAAAAAGGAGGAACCAACAAACTTTCTTGTTGAGGAAGAAGATGAAGGATTGCTGATGGTGACAAACATTTCAGAAACTGAGGTCAAACTGAACTGTTATAATAACTCGGTTTGGTACTTGGACACCGGCGCTAGTAACCACATGTGTGGTGACGAGTGTTTTTTCAAAATACTTTCAAAGGTGGAATCCGGATCTGTTTCTTTCGGTGATGCTTCGAAAGTAGCTGTCAAAGGTCAAGGAACGATCTGGTATCAACAGAGAAATGGGTGAATCAGAGAGATCAGAGATGTATACTACGTACCTGATCTCAAAAGCAATATATTGAGCATGGGATAGTTAATGGAGAAGGGGTAGTCGGTTCTGATGAAGGACTGAGAACTACAACTGAAGGATAAATTCGGGAGGCTTATTGCTTTGGTGGAAATGAAGAAAAATCGCATGTACAAACTTGAGCTGAAAATAATTCAAGATAAATGCATGCAACTTGATATGGAGGATGAGGCCATGAAGTGTCATTTTCTGTTTGGTCTTCTTCACTTCAGTGGGTTGACTGCGCTGATGAAAAAGGAGATAGTGCTCGGAATGCCTAAAATAAAATTCGAAAAAAGGTTCTGTGAAGAATGTGTGATTGGGAAGCAAATGAGGACTTCTTTCCCAAGAAGTTCTGAGTGTCAAACAAAGCAGCAACTCATATTGATTTGTGTGGGCCAATAACTCTAGAATATTTCAGTGGTAAGAGATAATTCGTCTCTTTCATTGATGATTTTTCAAGGAAAACGTGGGTTTATTTTTTGAAGGAGAAGTCAGAAGTGTTTGAAACTTTTAAGAAATTCAAAGTGATGGTGGAGAAAGAAACAAGCAAAGTCATCAAAGCAATCCGATCTAACAGAGGAAGCGAGTTCACTTCTACTGAGTTCAACAATTACTGTGAGGAACATGGGATCAAACGTTTCCTAACTGTCCCATATTTTTTGCAACAAAACGGTGTAGCGGAACGAAAAAACCGAACAATTCTTGATATGGTTCGATCTATGTTGAAAGGGAAGAATATGCCAAAGAAGTTTTGGGAAGAGGCGGTGCAGTGCGCAATCTATTTGCAAAATAGATGTCCATATGCAAAGTTAGGTGAGAAGACGCCTCAGGAGATATGGAGTGGTATGAAGTCAAGTGTCTCTCATTTGAAGGTGTTTGGTAGCGTGGCCTATGGACAACTACCAAGTCAGCACATGACTAAATTAGAAGATCGAAGTAAAAAGTATATATTTATCGGGTATGATGGAAAATCTAAAGCGTATAAATTATTTGATCTTGTTAACAATAAAGTGGTGGTAAGCCGAGATGTTCACGTGAAATAAACAAAGCATTAGTGTTGGAGTAACCCGGCAGAAGAAGAAACTAGTTCAGAAATTGTTGTGCCTTCAACAATAACAATTATTGAGTCCTCAGATAAAGAAATAGAGCCACAACAGCCTAGGATGAGAAGTCTGCAGGAAATATACGATACTACAAATGAAGTTCATGTTGTATGTCTTCTAGCTGACTCTGAAGACTTGAGTTTTGAGAAAGTTGTCCAAGATGAGAAGTGGAGAACAACCATGGATGAAGAGATTGGAGCGATTGAATGCAACAAAACTTGGGAGTTGACTGACCTTCCTAAAGGAGCTCAACCCATTGGAGTAAAATGAGGGTACAAAAAGAAGATGAATGTTGAGGGAGAGGTTGAACGTTACAAGACTCGACTTGTGGTGAAGGGCTATAGACAAAAGGAGGGAATCGACTATGATGAAGTATTTACTCCTATCATGAGAATGGAGTCAATCCGACTTCTGATCTCATTTGCTGCTCAGAACCAATGGTCGATTCTACAGATGGATGTGAAGTCGGCATTTCTAAATGGAGTGCTGAAGGAAGGGGTGTACGTTGAGCAACCACTCAGGTACATGAAGAGAGGGGATTAGAAAAAGGTGTTGAGATTAAGAAAAACTCTCTATGGGCTGAAACAGGCTCCTCGTGCCTGAAATGAGAGAATTGACGGGTATTTCAAGAAAAATGGGTATGAACAATGTCCATATGAGCATGCTTTGTACGCAAAGAAATCAGAAAAGGATATGATAGTAGTCACTCTCTGTCGACGATCTCATATTCACCGGAAGCAATACGAAGCTAACTAAGGAGTTCAAGGAGGTAATGAAGAAAGAGTTCGAAATGACAGACTTAGGACTGATGAAATATTTTCTTGGCCTAGAAGTGAAGCAGTCACAGAAAGGAATTTTTATATCCCAAGAGAGGTACGCGCTTGAAATTTTAAAGAAGTTTAAAATGGAGGACTGCAACCTGGTTTCTACTTCAATGGAACCAGACACTAAACTCTCAAAGTTTGATGGAGGAGAACGAGTTGATTCTGGGAGATATCAAAGCTTAATCGGAAGTCTGAGGTACCTTACAAGCACAAGACCCGACCTAATGCTGAGTGTTTGGATAACGAACAGATACATGGAGAATCCAAGCTACACACATTGGAAGACCTTAAAGAGAATTTTGAGATATGTTCGAGGAACCTTATCACTTGGTCTTTTCTATTCAAAATCGGATGACTACCGACTAGTGGGTTACTCAGATAGTGATTGGTGTTGTGATGTTGATAACCGGGTGTTCCTACTCAGAAAAATAGCTTTTACTTGGCTGTCAAAGAAGCAGCCCATTGTAACTCTGACAACCTATGAGGTCTAGTATGTGGCGGCCTCTTGGAGTGTGTGTCATGCAGTCTGGCTTTCAAATCTACTAAGGCATCTGGGAGTGATCCAAGACGAAGGGACTGTAATTCGAGTTGACAACAAGTCGGCGATCGAGTTGGCAAAGAATCCAGTTAATCATGGAAGAAGCAAGCACATTGACGTCTGATTTCATTTCATCCGAGAACAATTCAGAGAAGGAAAGGTTGAACTGGAGCATGTTGAAAGTCGAGCTTAAGCTGCTAACATATTCACCAAATCACTGCCAACTACACTGCTGGAGAGTTGTAAAAGGCTTATTGGAATAAGAGATGAAAAGAGTATTTAAGTTTAAAGGGTAGATTTATTGTAAAACTTAAATTAGACGTTTAGTATTCCTAGAATAATATTAATAATTTTAATTACGAGTGGTATAACGGTTGTAAACCTATTTAATAGGTATTATGATTTACTTTTGACATTTGAAGAGGAAAATATTTTGGCCATAAATACTTGTAACAATTCATTTGGAATAGCATCAGGAGAAATATTGAGAGTGTTGTTTCGTTTGGTGTTACCAACAAAGATTCCATCTTCCCATTTTTTGACAAAATGATCAAATGTACAAAATGATCACCAAGAAACAATACAGTTGTTTTTCTTAACTAAAGTCCGGTTATTAATAAAAGGAATGTTTGTATATTTCTGTGACATGTGAAAGTCAAATACCACCAAAGTAACTAAATATTTACAATTCGTTAATTAGGAGCTACAAACATATAACATTGATAAGATACCCTTTTACCAGTTATCAACCCATCTGGGATGATAAAATTTTCAACTGTTACATGACCACATTAATAATTAATTAATTAGTCCTAAATCACTTGCTTTCATTCTACTATTTTCTGAGACACATGCTCTGCTGTCCAAATTTTTTTAGGTAGAATTTCAAATCAAAGATTGGTGCTAACAAATGATGTTTGATCTTTGCAACGTTACTTATGATTTAAACCTATGTCTGGTTTAGTTTATTTATTTTTAGTTTAGATTTCAGAATTTCAGGAAAAAATTCTTTGAGTATAGAAGAGCCAATGATATAATAAGGTTAGTTCTTTCAACAAGGATTTTCTTCATTAAGAAGGTTTGAACTCCATATTTTTCTTAAGAGATATTAGATGTTTCATTTAATTCTATGTTACTTTTTGTTTTCCCGTTAGATCGAGTAATCCTTTTTTCTCTGAAAAAACAAAAAAGTTTAAGAAAATTATGAAAGTTTTTTTAAAAATAATTTACATCAAACATCCATTCATGTGGATGTTGAATTGCCTATACTTCTAATATAATGAAGATAACTCTTTTTCCAGGGTATATATACTATTACGTAGTATGTAGCTCCACACTATATGATATATATCAAAGATACATTAAAAATATAAAAAATTAATTAGTTACAATTTAGTAGAAATTCAATCACTTGTCCCTTTCTTGTGTCTCCTAGTTATAAAAATATTACTTCGAAAACGATAGCAATGAAAATAGAATATTATTTGTTCATCATGTATCATTGTTTATAATGAGACAGGAAGCAATTAGTTGACAATCCTAATTTAATAGTGTTTGTACATTATTTTTAAGTTTTAACACGTCTATTATGCTAACATAACTAAACTCACTATGATTTAGTTTTTAAGACAAGATCAATAGATGCTAATCTAATATATATTTGCAAACTGAGTGACATCAAATGTAAAACTCAAGATGTGATGTGACAGTTACTATAAAAACAAAATTGTTTCGATCCGAAAGGAAGGGGAAAGAAACTCCATTAAGGTGAATTCGTCTCCAAATTAAATATACAACTAAAAAGTGTAGAAATCCTTAGATTTTAGTTAATTAAGATCATGACACGTTTTAAAAATTAAATCCAAGATGAATACACTCTATAATTTGCAGACAAATTAAAACTTTGACACAGTAAGTCAAATTCCATGCCTCGGCTAATGATCACTTAACAAAACGTTATAATTTAGCAGTTATCAAAGCCAAAACGGATCTACTTATTTCATTTGTGTTTGGTAGATAGAAGATGAGGGATAATGAATTATATGGATCAAAACCAGGGAACGATAAGAATCTCACCATTTCAGTTAATTTGGCATTCTCTACGAGCATGTTACTCTCCTAAATTCAGAGGGAAAGGGTCAGCGTAAAGGATTTCTGCAACACTAAAGCTTTTCAATTTAAAAAGCACCTGAATGAAGCTAGGTTACCTGGGATCGTAGTTGACCAATCTGCTCCATATATAGTTGAGCCTGAATGAGCAATATCAATTTGTTCATTAATCTAATTATAGAAGGCAGCACTTAATTTTTGTTAATTATATCTCGAGTCAGGTGTTTACTTACCTTTTTCTGGTTGACTCTTAGCAAACTTCTCTGCAGCTGATCCTCAATTTCTTTGAGTTCATCATAGGAACAAGAACTCACGCTTTGTCCCAGCAGCTTCCTAAAACATTAAATCAATTTCAAATAATTAACCAAAAAATATAGTCGCTAGCTAGTGCAGCGCATAGCAGGCAAAGAACTCAAACAGAATCAGCCATACATATAAATATATATAGCTCAAAAAGATGTTAAAGAGCATTCCCTAAAATTAATTTATTAATGTGACAGCAGCACTAAAACTCAGCATAGGATAACTTTGAAAGCATTAAATAAGGAGTGACCTTTTAGAATTTTCAAGAAGCTCAATCTTCTTTGCCATGCTTGCGGATTCTAACTTCAGTTGCTGCATGAAAAAGATGCAAAAAGTTAGTAACATATATCACTTACTATCATAAAAACAATAAAAATGGTAATATATGTCATTTGAAATTCACACTACAACAGATAGTGTATGTCAAGTATCAATTCATGACTGTCAGGCATGTCACTACGCTCAAAAAGCTATCTGTATAAACCACAAACCATGCACGGTAGTAAGGTTACAAACGCAGAAGTTTAACCTGAATCCAGTAAAGCATTTTTGTTGCTTCGATTAATGTTTTTAAGAAATAATCAATTGTTTTTTATTAGTATTAACCAAGTATTTAATACATTACCTGTTAGAAAATAATGACAACATCACTTCCTGAGAGAATAATGTCGTCCTCATGAACACACTATTAAGGTTATAAAATTTCTTTATTTGACAAAGAGACTATAATCTAAGTGAACTTGACAATATTCATATATAAGATAAGAACTAATAATTTCTTGTACCATAAACAACTTGATTATTTCAATTCATGTAAGAACTTTAGAAGTTTGCAACATTGAGAAGGAGTCATGTATACCTCTCTCATTCAAATTTCCATGAAGAAAAACATGAAAGAAATAAGGGGGAGATTGATGACAATGTGAAACATGTTCCTACATTCCCAAGAGATAATTTTGATAATGATTCAAGTCAACAACATTCAAGACTCAAGCAAGCCCAAAATATGATTATTCAAATCATTTAAGATTCAAGCAAACCCAAGATGTTTCCTAAAGACTAGATAGAGTTTTAGAATACTAGATATGAAGGTACAAGTTGATAAAGTGGTATTATGCATAAGCCTCCAAAGCATAAGTGTTATAAAATTTCGTAACATGACATTTTTCACTGTCATAATCGATTATGTAAAGGTCATAATCGATTATATCAGCAAATAAATATAACATGGTATTTTTTATTGTCTTAATCGATTATATAAGTATCATAATTAATTACATTAGTGTCATAATCGATTATGTGAGGTTCATAATCGATTATGACATCAAATGAAGCATTTGTTTTGAAATACACGGTCATAATTAATTATATAAGTAACATAATCGATTATATAAGTGACATAATCGATTATGTAAGTGTAATAATCGATTATGATGCCTCAGAAATGAAAAATTGATTTTTTTCCATCATAATCGATTATGCTAGGAAGATAATCGATTATATTTGTTGGGAACTTCCTGATTTCTTTCTAAATATTTATTACTGAGCAACAACTATTTTGGATTCGTTTTCAATGTTATTTTCCTATTTAAATGAGTTTTGATGGAAAATAAAATATACACAATTACAGAATTCGAAAATACAATTTACATTCAATCAATTTTGAGAAAAGAACTCTCAGCAAGACAATAGAGCACTTTTAGGTTTTCTGAGAAAAAAATTTCATATTGTCTTTTGCACTTTCATTGTTAATTACACTTGTTTTTGGTGGTTGACATTCTACAGGTTTCTACAATTTGGTGTCTCAATTACCCAGGTGTGATTGTTCTTATTTTATTGTCTTCATCCTTTGTGAGTTTAGGTGTGCATACTGTTAGTGTGTTTATGTTTGGAGTTTCTACTGTCATCTCTTTGATTTGTTCAGGAAGGTATTTTCATCATTTGATTTGTTCAAAGGAGATGTTTATCCTTAGTGGGATTCTAAGGAGATGTTTTCATCCATTTGATTTGTTCAGGGAGGTATTAATACCTAGTATGATTCTAGGGAGGTGTTCATCCTTAGTGGGATTCTAAGGAGGTGTTTTCATCTTTTGATTTGTTCAGAGGAGATGTTCATCCCTAGTGGGATTCTAGGGAGGTGTTCATCCTTAGTGGGATTCTAAGGAGGTGTTTGTCTTTTGTATTAGTTTATTTTTTACTGGTTCCTCTGCTGAGTTGATTATAATTTATAAACTGAATTTGAAAGATAGTGAATTGGGGTCACTTTTGTGATTAGAGTTGACTGAGAACTGGATATAAGATTGGCTATACCTGAACCAGTATAAATCTTTGTGTGATCTTCTCTTCCCTATATTGTCCTTTTCTTCTTTATAACTTCACGCTTGAATCTTTCCCTTTATCTCTCTTATTATATCGCTTCCGTTTTATCTGTGTTCAAACTTAATTTAACAAATTATTGATATCACAAATAAATTTTTAATTTGATATCTATTTTAATTTGTACATCTATCCACCCCCTCTAAATGTCATTTGTCTAACAAAACATTACTTATATTTAATTGATGAAGATATCATTGCTTAACTAAAGCGACAACAATAATGATTTGTATGGTGAAGGTGAAAAAGTTTTAAAATAATCAATCCCCTTTATTTGAGCATATCATTTTTCAACCAATTGAACTTTATGTCATTCTCAACTCCCATTATGATTTCTCTTAATTTTGTAAACTCATTTGCATTCAATGAGACACATGTTTAGGTGTGTTCATAATATTTCGGGTTTTGTTCAATTTGAGTGTCTCCATCTCCTATTGCATTGTCTCACGCCAATATTCATGTTAAAGAGTCTCTTGATAACTCATTATGGACTCAGATAAAATTATTAGATAATAATAAAGTAAGGAAGAAATATGAGAATAAGACATAATAGAACTAAGAAGATATAAATATTTTGTTGATGAGTGGGTAAGGAAGCTACAATGATAGTCAAATAGATAAACAAGTGGCTTATATGTATGAGTTGAATGACACAATGATGATTGAGGCTCTTAGTGGATCATTTATTTGCTATAAGACCTTCATGTTTTTTATGAGCAACAATCAATTTTGTTTTATGATAGTCAAAAGTACATTACACATAGCTGTTAATCCAGTTTTTCATAAACAAACTAAATATTTTGGTATTGATTGTCATGTTATCTAAGAGAAATCTCAACGTGGTCTAATACATCTTCTTTTAATGAATTGACTGACATCTACATCAAAATCTTGTCTCCAGTACTATTTAAAGTCAATTTATCCAAATTGGAGCTCATGGCATCTTGGGACCTCTAGCTTATGGGAGGGTAACATGAAATAATGACAATTGTACATAATTACATATTGGCCCATACATTGACCCAAATTAACAAAAGATGGGATTATTTAGGGTAAAAGATAAATATAAACTTAACAACAAAATAGCAGAATAATAATTAAACAAAACATCTCAAATATTGTATTACTTAGTTGCTTGTTTTCTAGGGTTACAATAATGTTATATGATCATGGACCATTATGTATAATTGTTATTATTTTTTTATATATAATCGTAATTGGGTGATAATGAATCAATCTACAAATTGGTTTGTGAACTTAGAAAATACTTCTCATTTAACCCAACTTAATTAATGCTTGGAGGGTTTATGTAGTAGAAACTCTATTGAAATGGATTCTTGGTTAATTGGCCAATTTCAGGATCAACAATCGTCACCGTCTTTTTCTAACATACATGATGATAAATAGAATTTTAATCATAATATATATATATATATATATATATATATATATATATATATAAAATTATTCATTACAATAATTATAAGTATTTTTTATCTGCTGTAAAGAATTATATGATAATGTATTTTATTCTTAAAAAATTCTCTAAATAACTCTAAAAAAATGATTAATGAATGAAGTGAAAGTCAAGATTGAGATCATTTATGATTAGTACAAACACTACAATAATATTAATTCATAACTAGGAAGTGTTTTGAATTTGTAAGATGAGAGTAAAACCTGGATATAATCGTCTCCAAACTTATTGGCAGCTACATCTTTGGTATATTCACGGTGTCGTTCCAAAATCTTGTCCATGCTGAAATATCGAAAACATGTTTTTTCGTTAAAATTAAAAATTTAATTAAAATATAATGATAACATAATTTATACTATCATTTGATCACAGATTATTATTTATTGTTAACTTCTGTAATAATTTATTAAAAGTTATATTTACACTAATTTAGTTTATATTATAAAATAAAAGTATTAGAATTCAACTCTAACATCTATATAGTAAACTCAGTCAAATAGCATAATTACTAGATTAATTTCTAATTCATTCAGGGTGCATTTACTGTGTCTGTTTTCTTTTCAATTACCAAGTTTTTACTATTTATAAATAAAATATCATTAATTTTGCTTTAATTAGTTCCTCTCTTTTTTCAAAAAAAAATTGAAGTAAAAATATATATTAATCAAAACATATCAGAAAAATATGAATATAAAGAAGAAGAAAAAAACACAGGTTGCAGGAATCTTGAACATTATTGTCACACTTAACAGACCGTCCATAAAATAATTTCTCTAGCCTTCAAAACAAGAAGTAAAGATTAAAGTATGCAGAAATAAAAAAAAAAACTATTAGAAAAAAACAATTATAAAAAAAATAATTTTTTTTACAAGTGATATCAGTTATTTAAGTGGGTAAAGGGTAAGAATAATCTTCATACTTTTTTCATACAATCATTTGTTCTTATAAACAAATATAAGAAAAACAACTATGAAATTTCATATGAACTTAAATATAAATGCATGTCCATCCAAATGTAACAAAAAGATAGGAAAAGCAGAAACGTGTACTACATAAGAATTAGTATATTTATAAATGTTAAACCCTAGTATTGGAAAGTTTTATGTTGCCTGTCAAACCATCTATATTGTTGTCGTCATCTTCCCATAAATAGTTCATGATAAATCAAAGTCATCAATGTTAATGAGCTACACCATGTTATTCAACAAAACATACATATTACTAATTCATCCAAAATTATCTTTTTTTCTTTTCAATGTCATAAAACAAGTGATGTTCTTATTTTATATTGTGTTATTAAATTTTTTATTGATCGGTAAATTAAAACTACTTCTGTAGTTTTAGTCTTTTTAATTTATTTTGAAATAAGTTATATTTTTATTTTATAATGTATTTATTACTAATTTTAAAATATATAATATTTAAGGTTAGATTACACATAAGATAAATATTAATTTTTATTATTTTTAATAAATTTATTAACTTTTTTCATTGATATGTTTATTATATTTTTATTTTCTTTAATTCAAATACTCTTTATAACTAAAAGATAAGAATATAGTTGATAATAGAGTAATTAATACAATTTTAAATTTTTTAAAAGTGTATATTTATAAACAATTTTTTTACCCATCATATCTCTTTAAAAGGGAAGGAGTATTATTTTTCTAATTTTTTTCTCACATACTAATACGTTGGTTGTGTAGGATGTTTATTCACAATTACTTCTCCCTTTATTATTATTATTATTATTATTATTATTATTATTATTATTATGTCTATGTCTATATTTATTATTTAATATATATATATATATATATATATATATATATATATAATATATATTAATCTATACCTAAAGATCTTAAATTCAAGATGAATTGGGACCGCAGTAGCATCTCCTTGTAAAAAACTAACACAATTTATGTACAATAGTTGCTTTAGTGCTAAAACCAATCTGTTGACATTTTCAAGAATAAGGGTATAAGTAAGAAATGCGCACTGAATTCTTATTAAGATAAGAAATAAATGTGTACTGAATGCACCAAACAGAACTGTTCGTAATACTAGGTAAAATCCCTCTTTCCAAGATGGAAAAAAAGATTTATATATTCTCCTCCGCACTTGGAAAACGGCATGCATAAACAAATGCCTGCACTTAAAAAATGTTCATAGCTTGTTCCACAAAATCCAAAACTTCCACGTCTCATTGTTCCAAGAAAGTAAGACTGAAGTTTATATATACCAATAGACGAGGGTTTAAGTTGAATGAAATGAGTTCCTTAAGATTTACGCCTATTTATGGTACGTTAGTGATTTTAGTACAAGATATCGATCATGTCAATGGAAAGGCCTTGAAGATATAGCATATCAAATTCTACATATAGGTTTTAGTGACCTATATTAACTGTTTAAGGGGTAGACCATCTAATAAGCCTTCATTTGACATCTTGATTAACTAAGATTTGAGAACTTCATAGATTGGTTTCTTATCTGTAATGTATTAACCATTGGAACAAGCAACTAAAAGCTAGACTGCTAAGTTTTGGTCCTACAGATCCACCAGGCACACATGTATTCTGGAAGAATATTACCAAAATATGTAGACTGGTCACCACTTATATTGGGAATATTGAATTGACCTAGACCAGAATTCAAAGGGTACCAAACTTACTAATGGGCTTTCATTTTATTCAGCCTAATTTTGAGTACAAAGTACTCAAACCCAGTACAATAGTAGTTCTTACATAGCAAGAAATTTATTGGATTTTAGTATAGCCATCTCAGTAGTCAGTACAACTCAGTCAAACATACAGTAGAAGAAAAATTCACAACTCAAGCCAGAATAACACATTTGTTTTTTGTACAGATAGCACCATAAGGTAGGGAAAAAAAAGATTAACAATGGCTACCCGTAGAATCAGCAATACAAACCATCTCCACTTTCTTTTCTACAACAGTGTAACAGGTACATATATATTTGAGCAATAATAGCATATCTATGGAGTACTAATTCTTAAGCAGAAATGAAGGAAAACGTACTCAGAACTTGAGAACTCATAGAGCCTTCCATTTTGGGAGAAGACTATGACAGCTACTTGTGCATCACAAAGAACGGATAGCTCATAAGCTTTCTTTAGAAGACCACTTCGACGCTTTGAAAAGGTAACTTGACGGCTTGTTGCATCCTCAATTTTCTTCATTTGAACCTTTCCCCTCACCATCTCCTACACATAAAAACAAGAAGATGCGTAACCCCTTGAACAAAGGTGAAGACAAAAATTTTCGTCAAGCCCTAGATGGAACAAAATAAAGGAAAAACTTTATAAGAACTAATACGATAATACACAAATTTGAAGGTAAGGGACTAAATATACCAAAAATTAGGAAGAGGCTCTTGTAGAAAAGTTTCCCTTTAATATGTGTTCTTTCTAAAGCTGGAAACTGCAAGATTTTAAAACAAACGATTAAAGTCCACAATCTAGCCTGGAGTGAGCAGCAACAGTCAATAGAAGAACATGGTTAAAAGGGGATATTTAGTTTTATCGCAAATAACTACTGATCCTCGAGCTCCAAAATGAATTTACAGAGAAATATTTGGTTCAGCTTATTTTAGACGACATGTACCAATTATACTAAATGCGGTGGAAAATATAGACCTCCCAGAATGGTTGAAATTAAACCATCCAATATGAGCAGAGAGAAAGTTAAAAGAGCTCATGCCTTCATCATAGACCAATGATCTAAGAGAAAAGCAAAACTCACCACTTAGGTCACAGTTAAAGAAGAGAAGAGAAACTGTAGCTAGTGGAAGAAAGAACTGGAAAACATCAGAAACCCTAGCCAGGAGGATCCCACTTTCAGCGTAGTGATATTTATTGTAGATGTTTCTCGGACCACAGAAAAGGATGGTAATGCCTTCTTCCATCCATTTTTGTCATCCTCCCAGAGGTTCGATACCCCAATAGATGACTTGAAAACCAATCAGAAAAAGGAACTGGAAAACAAACTACTGTTTTGATAGTTTCTTATCATCTAATTGTCTGCCTTGTTTTGGCAAAAATACGATAACTATTTAAGGCAAGATGTTCATTAAAAAAATAAAAAACCTTCCCCTTTTTTGAATAAGAGTTTTGAAGAATATTAATTTAAATAATACACTATAAAACTATGTTACCACATAAAAGAAAAGCAAATGTTAATATTATAGTTGTTTCGTCAAAATTTATTTGGTCAATAGCGTGAACTGTGATGACCTTGGAAGATTGAAATTTCCAGATTGTGGAAGTATTACGCGTTGTCAAAGTAACTTGACTAACAGTTTGCATATTAAACCGGCAAAGAACAAAGAACGTGTAACAAAGAAGCAACTAAACGTACGTAAACTGATGTGGAATAAAATTCATGATCAATAGAATACTTTGACGAAGAAATAATAATATATATTGAAAAAAATAAGCATATATATTTAGCACAGGAAAAGTATAATAAGGTACATAAATTTAACACAAAACACTAATTAAATTAAACAATATAGAACATAATTAAACGAGGAAGATAGAAGAAAATGAAAAAAACTGGTAACAAGCATGAGACAAGTAAGAAACTATGCATTGCCCGTTTGGAATGTTGTTGAATCAAAATGTTGTACAACGTTTAAGGTCATAATATCTTCTTCTGTGGATTCTTTTTTATTTGTTTGGGAATAAAACAATGACTGGTAACAGGAGATGATGTTGTCGTTGATTGCCACTGTATATATATGCCCTCAGTTTAAAGGAGTGAGAATAAAGCAAGATGGCTTCCATGTTCTTTCTGGTTTTCCTTTTTTGAATAGACCATTTGTCTGCTCTGTTATCATTGGTGTGATGCCATTCTTATCAACTCTTCTCCTCCTGCATTTTCACGCTATACTTTACTCTTTACTGTTTGTTAGCTCTTTCCCACTTCTGACTCCTCTTAACAAAACATCAGTTTATAACAGCCCAATACAAAACTTTTTACAAAAATGTTATTTTAACAGTGTTAACAAACCTGACTTCTTTATAATTGAAGAAAATTACTTTTATATAAAAGCAACTCCAATGAGGAGTACATTTGAGAAATTATAGTGACTGATTGAAGTAAGTTGATTGATGGTTTAAAAAAGCAATGCGAGATGACATTATAGGGAAGTGTGAAATATTATTAAAAAAAAAACTAAAAGAGGAACATTGGTGAGTTTATATGGGTTGAAACTTGTTTATAATTTAAAGAAATTTTATGTTTATAAGGCCTACTATTCAACAATAGTTTTATTATCTCTTATTCCTATTTCACCTTTTCACAATTCTACCAAGAATGTGTGGTTTTAATTTTGTTTCACTTCAATTTAGGTTCTATTTCTTTTATTATTATGATTACATACTTTAATCAGTCTTCCTTTGCATAAACCTCAATTTTTTTTACTTAAAACAATTAAAGAATTAGGATGATTTAGAAAATTGGATTAAATTAAGGGGATTTTTTAAAGGTGTGAATTTTTATAGATTTATATTGTAAAAAAATATTTAAATTTTAAAATGAATTAGTTTAAAGTATTTCGGCGCGTGTTACATTTTCTAATTTTTTCAGGACAAAAACACTACAAACAAATTCAGTATAAAAATGCTAGCAAACAAAGGGCTTTTGGGCCCTCCTTCTTATAGTTTTCATGGGCCCAATTAGATCCACCAAACTGCTAAGCATGGATTGAACAGAAATTGGGCCGAAAACACAATAATAAACTGAACAACGAGTGAAACGTTGGTGGCGATGTAATGACCGAGAGACCAACACCGACGAGGAAGAGAAAAATGGGAGACACAGAGGAGACAGCTCCTAAGAAACCTGCGGTAAAATGGCCTCTCATCAAACCCAAAAAGAATCTTCAGATTACCCGACTTCGAGATTTCGATCTCTTCACGGTTAGAATTCCATCTTCTTTCTCGGCTCATTTTTTTTTTTTTTTTGTCTATTTTGATATGGGACTTTGATTGCTTCAGTATACATTAACATTTTTTATGATTGCTTCAATTTCAGCTGAAATTTTAATCTTGCAAAGCAAATTAGATAGTTCCACAGTGTCTGTTATATGTATCCATGTGCTAATTGTTCTCTAAATAATTCTTATTTAATTTGGGTTTAGGTCCAGAATTTTTTCTCCTCTGCTGAATCAAAGGCATTCGTTAAAAATGCTGAAGCAATTGGTTTTGTTCATCAAGGGAGTCTAGGTCCTACTTATGGTGAAGCTTACAGAGATAATGATCGAATCTCAGTGGATGATCCTGTACTTGCAGATACTATTTGGGAATCTGGACTTAGCAAACTATTCTCTGATATAAGAATTCGAGGAAAGGTTGCTGTAGGTCTGAATCCAAATATTAGATTCTATAGGTTGGTTTTTTTCTTTTCTGAGGAAAAAGTTTCTTGTGGACAAGTTAGTATAATTACTCAGTTTGCTAAAGTTCTTCTTGGGCTACTGCATTTTCAATTAGATTTACGTTTATTGGAACACCCAAAAATCAAATAAAATAAAATAAATCTCTATCCAGCAAGCACTTTTTATCTTTTGTGGTGTGTACACATCTAAAAACCACCTACCAAAATCCACATCGGTGTTCAAACATTTTCAATTCCTTTTTGCTGCCCTCTTGATGAATTGGACCCCTGGTCTCTTTATATTTGGTCACTAATGATCTTGCACTTGTGCACTCTAGGTACAAGATTGGTCAACGGTTTGGACGGCATATTGATGAAAGTGTTAATCTTGGAGATGGAAAACGCACTTACTATACACTTCTGGTGTATTTGAGCGGTGGACTTGGTGAACTTAAGTCAAAGCCCAAAAATGATTCCAGCAATTCCTCAGTTTCATCTGTTGATCCTTTAGTTGGTGGAGAAACAGTATTTTATGGTCCAAGAAATAAGATTGTGGCTGAGGTAAATTATTGATTTTCTTTTGGTGTAATATGGGTTGTTGGGTAATATCTCTTTTCTGCTTTGACTTTGAATCTATGCTTCATGCAAATTTTATATGATACAATATTGGTTTCACAGGTGGCTCCAACGGAAGGGACAGCACTTCTGCACCTTCACGGAGATAAATGTTTGCTGCATGAAGCAAGAAATGTTACCAATGGTGTCAAGTATGTGTTTCGTTCAGACGTAGTATTTGCTTGAAGAATGGTTCATGACTTGTACCAAATCGTCTGGTATTTTCATCTCCTGAAAGCTTTTTTTGTTAGCCTATTGCACAAAATATCGTTGTGTTATCTTGATTTCCAGTGTTGATGATATGTTCTGTTTGAAAATTTATGCAATAGATAATTTACTTTTATGTATAAGAAAAATAGAGAAGTTATTTTGAAAAACTCATATAGAAGGGAAAATTAGGTTCATTAACCAATTATGAAGCTACCTACTCAGAACGTTAAGGGCAGCCTGGTACATAGGAATAATTTTTTTTTTGGATACTTGAAGTTGAATTTCATGGAGAAGTTGTCTTTTATTTCTCCATTTCAGAATTATGACAATATTTCTTAATTTCTGTATATATATTTGCAGTATAATGTTTGTGGCATCTGTTGATCCATCAAAACACGGTTTCTTTAATTGGCGTGGATGAAAAATTCGTTGACTTTCCTATTAGACTTCCTATTCTTTAATTGCCGTTTGAAATTCATATGGTGTGTATGCCTTGTTGCTATCCTTCTAGTTTTGGGCCTAAAAGTATGTACATTGTCGGTCTTAAGTTCTCATAGAGTGAAAGAGACTTGGGATCAACTTGGGGTGAAAAGCTCAGTTACAAACCCTTAGAATGAAAAAAGTATTATGAATTGAATGCTTGCGTGATTATTAAAAGAACATCATATAACCTTCTGCTTGTGTACACAAATGAATATTTTTCTCTTGTCATTCGTGAAATGGAGTATCCAAGCATAAAAGATTTTATTTCAACATTCGTAACAAGATCTTTGTGACAATACAGTAAAATGAAATTAACAAAAGGGGTGGCAAAGAGAAAAAGAATGAGGGCAAATTAGTCTCTGTTCAATGTCTCTCTTAATTTGCAATCCTGCAATTAAGTCTTACTTCTCCATTTTTAGAGCCTCTTAGATTTCCAAGTTTCAACATTGAAGTTGTGAACTCTTTGAAGAACAAACCCTGGTCTTTCGCAAATGCTTCAACAAACCATTTAGTCCTGTGATCACCAACAAGTGATTGATCTGAAAAAAACACACCTTTCCCGGCCAACAGTTGTTTGTAATAGTCATTGTCAAACACTGATGCTGTTGGGTCCAGGAACTGTCCTGCGTGGTGGTTGTGGTTTGGATTTGGACATTTCTTTCTTAGGTCTAAAGCAAACTCAGTGTTCATACTTGGATCTGTGTCATGGAATGAACTAAAATTATGTATACGTGCCTCAAAGGAAGAACAATGTGAAAAGCCCAAAGTGTGACCTCCCGATAAAGTTGCCAAGTCTTTAACTGTCAAATCTCTCTTAGCAAAGCTCTGAATTAGTTGGCTCACATTGAAGGTTGGAGCAGGTAAGTTGACGGTATCAGATGCCTTTGATACTCTTCCATCTTTCCTTCCTTTTAGTACATTCCAATATGGACCTCCAGACTGTTATATTATAGTGAAATATTGTCATTGTAATAAATAACTTCCTTTCACTTGCCTCATGATACTAATGTTTCATGGTGTGGATCATTATGGAATGTAGAGACCAATAATAGTATCCAACATACTAAATATCCTGAATTGTAATTTATTTTATATTCAAGATTCCCAAGAATAAGTAATCACAGTGTGAATAGAAATCTTGTTATTCATGTAGAATGTATTTGGGCATATCTAAACCTATTATGTGATTTGGATTCTTTTAATGAAATATTTTATGAGATCATCAAATGTGTGTACTAAAGGGTACCAAGAATTGAGCAAGTTTGGTGTAGTTTGGAGACTTGGATATTACCATGGCTACCACATCTCTAGCTGAAATGGCAATTATATCAGCACAAGAAACAGTGCGTGGGCAAGCTAATTCAAGCTTTGCTTTGGCTTCATCAATCACATAGAACGACCGAACTGAGATATTAGGAGGGCCATCTTTCTCTGCTTGGTTAGTGGCTGTTGAGTCCAGCATTATTGATGCATCACACCCCTGTCATTGAACATCAATCAAAACACACATTAGCCACTTTTAATCATTCATCAGTGTGAACACTGTGTGCACATGCACGTGCATGTGCGTTTGTTTTTTCTTCGGTGAAGGATCATACCCTTATGAAACAGTCATGGAAAAACATTCGCAAGATACGAGCTGGGACTTTTGGATCATGCTTAGAAGCATTGAGAACAGTCTCTGATATTATTTTTTCCAATTGTGGGCAGGTTTGGTCGTAGTAATGAGCATGAAGTTCAGCTCTGGATACTGAAAATATTGTCAAGAGGAGGAAAATGATTGGAAAGATGTTTTCTGCTGGCAGAGGGGCCATCTGATAAATCAGAATTTTTGTATTTTGAAAATGAGGCTTGGATGAGAATCTCATTAAAGATGCATTGCGATATTTATAGCATAAAAGTGTACGATTTAGCCAAAACAGGCTTAAGTTTGAGTCACTGTACTTCAAAAGTTAGAATATTAGCCTAGAAGTACAGATTTTGACCTCCCTTCTGTTCTACTTTAAGACCTATGTCATACCACCTACCTAAACACATCTTGTTACTAACAGAAGTACAAACAGAAGATTTCTATCGTACTTAATTGTTTATTGTTGAGTAAGGCCTTAAGGGGTTTTTGGAGGTCTTATTCCTTGTAATTAAGAAGTTGTTTTTCCTCAAACATCCTGGTTAGGTAACATGTTACTTCACAAATTGTTCTGTTGGTTCAGATTAGTTTAGTAATGTTGTAAAGTTGATGAGAAGAGTGCAAGATTCTGCAGTAAAAAATTTGCCCCATTGTTCGGAGGTTTCCATGTATCTAATGCTTTAGGAATTAGAAAGGAATGTCGTTTGGACAAAAAAAATGAAGAAAACGGGCTTTTGTCCAAACTTCAAACACTTTTTTTTTTTTTTGGTTATTCAATGTTATAAAACTCAGATAGATTATGGAACAAGCAGTTCACTGGCAAATAACCAGTACAGGTAGCTTTTTAGGTAATAATTATATGCATGCAAACTGAGACGAGCTAGGTCAAAGTTAAATAATCTGTACGAACTGGTGAAGATATGAAGAAGAGTTAGACTGATTTGACGTATCACTTGAATTCTTTGAAAAAAAAAGAAAAAGCTATCCGTTGTTAAGCAAAATATCTCTCATTTTGTTCTCATAAGTTGTAACTAATAAATGTTAAACTTAAAATAACTGCTTGTGAAATAAGTCATTTTAAAAAATATATATTTATCTAAGAAAAGGAAGATTTGCATTTTAAAAAAGAGTAAACTAATTATTGTTAAAATAAACCAATTAAATAAATAAAATAGAAATCTCCATGTTATATTCTTTAAATAGTAAACTAATTATTGTTAAAATAAACTAATTAAATAAATAAATAAGTGTCAGTCTTTCTACGTTATTATTGTTGCTTACGTTATAAATGGTGACACATCTTTAATTGTCACCTATAGTTCATGAATCTAGTGTAAAATAAAACACTGTATGCAAAGAGTTACAAGTTTGTTTTCTTTAAGCAATAAATTTGGTTGGTTGAATGAAGAGTATGCAAAGATCATGTTCTTCATTGGTTAGGTTGTGATGGACAAGGTCATGTGTTCCATTTCCTCCAAAGAAAGAATTTGATTTGATAAGTGAGAACTAAATTATTTGAAAGACTAATTTCTACTATTTTGTAAGGACTAAAAACTAATTGTATTTTTTCACAGTATTAATTTTTTTCATTTTTTTTTTGTTAAAACACATCAAAATCTAATTTATTACATTATATAACATACTTGATATGATTATTTCGACAAGTTTTAATATGACGTTTACTGAGATGAGGATGAATTGTGAGAACCAATTTTTCAATGTAGTAAATTCAACCAAACACCTGTGTCTTTTAACCTAAATCCATACATAAGCTCAAATAAGTTTACTAGGAGTTGTTTTAAACATCCTTTATGAATAGAGAAAATTACACTATCAAAATAGCTTATAAAGACAGGTGCCAATAATACTCTTATTATCTGAATTCTATCACTTGTGACCATAACTTATTGTTTATATGTTAGGTTGCATGAAATATGTTAAGGATACATATGAAATACATGTATAAAGAAAATTTTGTTTTTACAATTTGACTTAATCGTCTTCGGTATAATTTCACACTATGTGTAATTGCAATAACTTGTTTTAAAGTATAATTATAATTAATATCAATAAAAATTATTGTAATTTTTTAAAACAAAAAATGTCAAGGGTAATTTAATTGAACTTTTAAAAACAGTTTAACATTTTCTCTTTTTAAGAAATTTTTTTTATCATGTTAAAACATAAACTCACTCATGTACAACAGAATACAACACTCTGGTTTTAATAAGATATATAAATTTTATTGAGTAGGAAAACTTCATCTCTGTTAGATAATATTTTAGTAATTGATGTGATGCCTAATTACTGTAATTTGGTTGAAATTTTAGGCAGTACTTTGAACTTGATTTAATAATAATGTAATTTAAGTGCTATAATTTAAAAAATTAAATTGCTCAAAATGTACGAACTAAATATTTATTCAATGGAGCTTAAATAATTATTAGATAAAAATTTATATTATATTATCTTTCAAGTCATAATCGGTTGATGTATTGTATTCATAACAACTTTTAGTGTTAAATAAGTTATACATCCCTGGAAATCTCCTGGGTTTCTAAATACAATTTCGTAAAACACATTTTGTTAGCAAATGGTCCTTGTGTTTTATTCGTCATTTGAGTAGATAAAATGTGAAACTCGTGATATCTAGTAGGAACAAAACGAAGATTTAATTTAAAAAAAAAAAAACAAAATTTAATGAAGCAATGGAGAAAGATAGATTTATAGTCTCTTTATCTTTATCTTCATGAATCATTCATAAATTTGGTCTTCCAAATTAAGCATAACTTCTTCTCTCTTTTTCTTTTTTTTTTTTTCATTTGCCACCCTTTGGTTGCTATGCAAACCTTTTTGTCTGGTGATGCTCTTGTATTTATATGTTCTTGTATTTATATTCTCGGCACTATAAATGACAATTAAATTCGTACCTGTTGGAACTGGTACGTTCCTATCCTGAGTTTGATGGGAAAAACCTGAGTTGACTGGAACGGAACGGATTCGGATTTTCCCCGCTTTAAAAAGTCGGGGCGGAGATGGAGATGGGTAATGCAATCCCCACCCCGACCTCGTCCACTGTCTCGACTTTATATTTAAATTTAAAATTTAAAATATTAATACTTTAAATATATTTTATTTTATTTTTCTATTACATATAAAGTTATTTTTTTAATATTTCACTAATTTTTTATTTTTCTTCTACCCACTTTTAATTTTTTTTGTCTTTTTTAATCTTTTATATCAATTAATTTATTACATTATCTTCTCTCTTACCTTTCTGTTTTTTACATTTCCTTAATTTCTTTCATCAATTTATTTATTTTTTTAATCTTTTCAATCAATTTGATGGACACAAAGTAAAAAAAATTCTTTATCTTTTTCTAAATATTTTACATAAATCCTAGTAATAACTAATATTATTTTATTTATAATTTATATTTATTAGGTTTTATTATGTCATATTTTTTATCTTATTATTCTTATCTATCATATATCAAATTTTATCTTAATAAAATAATTGTATTTTAAATGATTAAAAAAATTGATAATTTAAACTTTTATTATTTCGAACTAATTAAATAAGAATTAACTTATTAAATATTTTCTTATAAATTATATATTTCATATTTTTAAATGACAACTTAAAAATGAATTAACTTATATATATAATTAAATATTTGAATACAGTATTATAATAATAATATTATAAGTATTCAAATATTTAAATAATAATAATAATGTTATAAATATTCTCTCTATATAAATAAAAAATAATTAAATATTATTTTACATACATATTTTAATATAAATATAATAAATTAAAATATATATTTAATTAATAATTATTATAAAATTATAAATATTTATTTATATATAAAAAATAAGAGACAAAGACAAAGATAATAATAAAAAAAATCAGAGCGAGAGTCAAAACCCACCCCGCCTGCCTAGTCGGCACATAAGGTTTTGCATTGTCCTCAGTTTGGACTTTGGTATTTCAAGATGAACAGTTGTGACAGTTAAACATTAAAACAACCCATTCAAGTAGTGTTCGGCCTGTTTTAGTTGACCGAGTCAAGTACCAACACTTAATAAGGTCGATTTAGTTGGCTGAGTGAACACTAATTGAATTTTATACCACATTAATATTTTTATCTTTTATTTTTATTGTCAGATACAATATAAAAATAAATAAATAAATTATTAAAAACAAAAACTGGATCATCTATTCTTTCTAATTTCAATCCCTGGTGTGTAAAATGTGGTCGGAAAGCATAAAGTGCATCTCGCCTTGAGAAGGCGGCATATGTTGAGTGAAGACGCGTCCACGTGTGGATCAGCCCCCACAAACGACACGTGTAGAGAGGGCCAGGCTGGTTCCACCGAGGAGCGGGCCCACAATCATAGAGACACGTGCCTAAACCCTGGAATCACATGCCCAAATATCGTGGCCCAACTTCAACCACTCAGCACGCTCCACGGACACCTATCTTTCCCCCACCAACTTTTGCGTAATGGGCCCCGCCACATAGCACGTGCGCAACCTCACGTGACCCCACCTCTTTCGTTGACGAACCAATAAGAGTCAGCTCCGTCCTCACCGTTTCTCCTCACTTATCCAATAACATACATCATTTAAAAAGATAAAACAAAATGAACAGCTTTAAAAGGTTTTCGTTAAAATAATAATCAAATTTGCCCCTAAGTAAAGCCTAACCATCATAAAAAAACAAAACAAAACAAAAAATTGTAAAACTAACACTATCTAATTTTTTACTTGTTCTTAATATTCAAGGCTTTGAAGAAGGTGGCGCTTGACCCAAAAACTGGAGCTCTTTCTTGTCATAAATTTCCAAAGAGAAATCCCTGAGCATTTGAGTGGTTGTAGCAGCGGAGGAGGAGGTGGAAGAGGAGGAGGCAGTAGCAGCAGTAGTGGTGACACTCACCGAGGTCATATTAGAAGGCAGAGTGGACGAAGAGTTAACAGAATCGGAGGCAGCACCATTTGAGGAGTGATTATCCTGTTGATGCATCTGCAAGGCAGAAACGAACCCCGAAATGGGCCGGGCCTGCATGTTAAAAAACGGGGCCGCGGTTGCTGGAATGGCCCAATACTGAGGCGGGTTTGAAGCGTTTGGAAACATGAAGAAAGGCCCTGAAGCGCTACCATTCCACAGAGGAACTACTCCCCCACCACCACCACCCGCAACACCGCCATACGCGGTTTGCGCGATTGGTGCCAGCCCTGAAGACACCGAAACGTGGTTTTCGTTCACGTCGATGAATTCGCTGTTCGACGCTCTCCTCCTTCGCTTCTTTGGGGTGTCTCCTCCGTCGGGTCTCGCCGCCGAGGATGTCGGAATCTTGAGAGTGCCGCCGACCGATACTGCAATAGCCGGAACTGTTCCGGTTCCGGTGGCCTCGATGATCGCAGGTTCAGCATGCTCGAGCAACCACCGGATTGTTTCTCCGTCGGATTTGTGCCCCAGCTCGCGCGTCAGCTGAAAGATCCTCGCCGCGCAAGTCGCTGGCATCCGGATTCTTCGACCTCGCCCCTCCACCTTCGTGTGCCGGTCCTTTGATGGCCGCTTCACCGCCGGCATCGGAATAACGTTCATTGGAGGTGGCACGTCACCGCCTTGCTCCGCGTCCATGGCCTCTTCCTTCATTTGTAGCGTCTGCGGCGGAGACGGTGACAACGACTCCAGCGGGTCCACTGTTGGCGGCGGAGGTGGCGTCTCAGAGGTGTCATCGCCGCCGCCGTGGGTGGGATTCGATTCCATCCTGAATAAATTTAAAATTTTTAAAAACAGACAGAAAAATATGACTAAAACCCAGATGAGAAAGAAGAAAAAAAAAAAAAGTTCAGAATTACGGAATCCGAGCTTGAAAGAAATTACAGTGTGTTTTGCAGCGGGAATAAGAACAGAGAAGAGCAACAGAGTTGTGGGGAAGTAGACTGTGTTTGAAGCTTTCTGGTGCTGCCAAGGATTAGAGACTAATTCAGAATTGGAAGAGAGGTTTTGGTAATTAAAAAAATTGTGAAATGAAAAATAATAAAAAATGAAGAAAACTGGGACAGACAACTAAGGGGGCAGAGGGAAACAAACCCTAACAATGGTGAGAGCCCCACTTATCCGGATGGAAGAGAGGGACCCTCAGCCCCAGTATCCTGTATTTATTTACAAAGTGAAAATGAATAAATGGTTGGATACACTCTTTGCAAAAAGTAAGCCATTGGGATGATGCCACGTAGAGTGTCTAGGATCTACTTTGAATTTACTGTTCCTATGCAGTTTTGTGCCTAATTCATGACAATTTGCAATTTTCAATCACAAAAAATCAAAAGTTTCCTTTTTCCTAGCTGTATAGTAGGAAAGTTATTGAATTTTTTCAATAATTATTAATTATTTTTTTAACATTAAATGAGGATAATTAATGTATTTCCTTACTACCATTATTTTTTAACAATAATGTAAGGATGAATATCAAAACAAATTTAATAGTTTTAATATGTGTAGAAATTAATTTAATAATTTATATCATGAACTTATAAATTATTATAAATACAGATTTCAAATAATTATTACAAAAACCAATCAATCTTATAACAAAATTAAATTATAATGTAAAATAGTTACATTCATTTCGATTAAAATTTTACATCTTTTCTTATAAAAAATATCTTAAATATTAAAAAAATTTAAATACTTTAATTATATTTAGTTTAATCCTTTTTATAAGTTTTGGTCTCCCAAGTATTAAATATTTATGAATATAATAATCTCAATTTTGCTTTAGTCTAAGTAAAACATAGCAATGTGAACAATAAACTATAGTCTAAATTAAATTATATATAAATACAATTAAATAAATAGAACCAGCATCATAGATTTATATTTAAATAAGTTTAAAATAACTATTTTATATGATGCGTGTGACAGACCTTTTACCATCTTGATAATAAAAAAATTGAGAGAAAACCATAATATTAATGCATATTTTATTTTTTCCATTTAAAAATATATTTAAAACACTTTTTATTATAAATAAAACCACTAGAGTTTGAGTTTTTAGTTGAAATTTAAATGTTTAGATTATTTTGTTGCTCAACTAATCATACTTATATTAGAGAAGATAATATGTTTATTATTATTATTATTATTATTATTATTATTATTATTATTATTATTATTATTATTATAACAGATTCAATGAAATGTTACGTATTTAATAAATATAATATATTTTATTTTTTTTAATAAAATTTATTAATGACAGTTAAAATTTTATTTGAATATCATATTTAATAAACACATTGGTAACTAATATGTAAGAAAAATATAAATTTCTTGTATAAATGTTACATATTTATATTTAAATATATTCTATAAAAACAACTTTATAAACAATAAATAAATAATTTATATTTTAATATATATATATATATATATATATTTTTTTTTATATTTTGAAATATATCTTACAATCACTTATAAAAAAATATTAATAAATATTATATTGATATATTATATAATAAATTATAAACATGCTACAAAACAATTCATATATTGAAACACAACAAAATAATTAAATATATATATATATATTCTATTATGATAAATATTAAATATAAATTATTATAAAATATATTATTAATTATATGATATGTAATTAACAAATGTACAACTATTAATATGATAAATAATAAAATATATTTATTATTTGTATTGTATAATAAGTTGTTATCAAATACTATATTAATTAATTTAATAGAATAATATTAAATATCTGAATTTTTTTTATATTTTATTAAAACAATTTTAAGTGTTAAAGTGTATATTAATATATATATATATATATATATATATATATATATATATATATATATATATATATATATATATATTATACAATAGAGGGACGTTTTGATGAAAAAAAAAATCCAACTTTAACTACTATAGTTTGATAAAATATCATTAAGGGTTTAACTTTACATACAAGATATGTTAGGTTTAATTACATAACTTATTATTTAATTATTATCAATCAAAACAGAAACATGATTTAGGGTGTATGTCTACTGTTTTCTATGACTAGGTTTTTTATAATAATAAGTTTTTTTTCTGAAATAATTGTTTTTTAGTGTTCCTTAACCTAATATTTCAATCATAAATAATTATTTTTTCTACTATTTTCTCTCTCTATATATAATAATAATAATAATAATTATTATTATTATTATTTTATAAATAATATAATATATTTAAAAAAATTATTAGTTATTATATAATTTAATGAACCTTTTTATTTGAATCAATTTAATAAATATATATTTAAAATAAAAAATTACCTAAATAAAATATTTATAAGTTTATTTAGTCTCATAAAATTTAATAATAAAAATTAAATTCATGTAATATAATATATATTTTTTATTCTATTTTTTCATTTATTTGTGTCTTTTATTTATTTATTATTATTATTTTTTTAGTACTTGTTTTTTTTTCTCTTCCTTAATTTTTCCGTCATTCATCTTGTTTTTTTAATTAAAAATATTAAATTAAAATTTTATAAATTAATTTTGTATTATTTTAAAAAATAAAAAACATTAAAATTATATAAAATTATTATATCATAAATTTGAGATATTATTATATTATAATTATTAAATATATATATATATATATATATATATATATTTTTTAAATAATTTTCAATAAATCTTTTTTAAATTACTTAATATGATTATTCTTCATAACTCAACCTAAATATAAATAGATTAAATTAAAAAAAAATATTTAACTCATAAATATTTAATATTTTTTAATTAGATAAATAATTGATTTATTATGATAAAATAATTTAAAATTAATTATTTATGTTATCGTAAATATATTATTATAATAAATAAAATCATTTATTATCGTTATAATTTTAAGTAATTAATATTTTTAAGTTTTAATATTGATTTTAAAAATATTATATATTTTTTTTATTTATAAGGAGAGACATGTATTTTTTTTAATAATTTAAGATAATAATTTGTAGTACTTTAAATTTATAATATAATATTTTTTAAAACATAATATATTAAATTATAATATTTGAATAATTCAATTTTTTTAAATAAACAACTTATTTTATCACATTTTAATCTAATATTTTTAATTAGAAAATAAGATAAGTGATAAATAAAATAAAAAATAAATGAAAAAAATAAGTTAGAAAAAATAAATAATAATTAAATGAAAAGAGAGAAAAAAATAAACAAATAAAGAATAAAATATTTATATTGTATCATAATTTATTTTTTATTATTAAATATTGTATATGAACAATAAATCGATTTAATTAGGTAAAAATTAGGTTAATGATTTTTTTTATGTGTACTTTTTTATATTTATATTTTCATATATATTATCGTTCTATTGGATATTAGATATGCAGTATGTAACTAAATTTTTAAATAATACATCTTTTATAATATATTTTTGCTAAATAATACCATTTTAACATCATTATTTCAATGAATTTAATTTTTAATGTGATATATATATATATATATATATATATATATATATATATATTCAATAATGAACTATTTATTATACCACTTAATTATTTTTGTTTTACAAATTTTACTATCCAACATTTTTTTACATATTTTAATATGATACGTTTTAGAGTGTATGATTTACCGATTTATTAAATACTACAAAAGATAAAATAAAAATACAAATGCAACAAAGAGAAAGTCATTTTTAAAAAATACACAAATGTGTTTTATTTTGTTATTATTATTATTTATTAGTGATGTGAAATGGAATGTATTTGTCGGATAATCATTTATGGAGATTCATATAACTATCCAAGGTTTTCTAGTTTCTTAGTAGTGGTTTAAAAAAATTACTTGTTTTTTTTTCACTTTTATAATTTTTTGGGTGGACGATAAATATAAGAATCTAATTAAAATAATTTAAATACAGCTTTATAACTGGGTTAAAATAAATTATATACTACCTAATAAACAAAATTTACAATTTTTTTACAGGTTTTCTATTTATTAAAAATATGATTAACCGTTAAAATACAAATTTCGTCTTATAAATTAATTTTATATAATTAAATTAGACATATGAGAATGTATCCTAATAAAATTTGTTAATCTATTTATTTATTTGTTATCAATGATTCATTTTTAATATTTAGTTAGTTGTCGAGATATTAGTTTTTTAAGGTGAAAAAATTGACTGTAGATAAAAATATAATTTTATAAATGATTTTTATAAAATTTAGTTAAACATTTTTTTTGTAATATTTTGTATGTTTTTATATATGAGTATTAAAAAAAACTAAAAAATGTATATAAAGATGTTGTTAACTTCTAAGATGTTTCCATTGTTTAATGTATAATAACTACTAATGAAATTAAGCAATTATTAAATGCATCCAGTATTGTATTTTTAGAGAGGAGCAATGAAAAGTTTATCAATAAATATTATCATATAATAAATAAAACAATTTTTGAATGATAAATTAGAGTTAATAAAGATTTTATCATATAGCGTCAGTATAAATTTGTATAAGTTAATACCTTGATACTTTCCAAATTTTATTTTAATAATTTGGTATAAATTTCGTTTCAACTATTAAAACTTAACTAAATTACGATATATATATATATATATATATATATATATATATATATATATATATAATAAGAAATATTCTTATATAGACTTTTGGTACTAATAACGACTAACTTTGATTAAAATCAATA